AAAAAACTACTCCTGATCTTTTTTTAGTATTTACTGCTTGTTTTAATGATGGGTAATCTTACCCAGATGAATTCAAAATCAAGTAATATTTCTTTTGCATTTTCCATTTGCATCAGCCATCAACTGTGATAGCAGTAACACTGTCTTTTTTAATAGATTTATTCATGAGTCATACTGCAAGCTTGAGACTTAATGCATTCAATCACTTAGCTGACATTCATTGAGCACCCTCTGTGTGCCAAGATATAGATCTACTAAGTCTTATAAAGAGTTTTACTTTGTGTGGTTGCCCAGGCTCTTGGCATCAGGCATTTTGCATCAGTCACATCAAAACCTACGTACCCACATGTTCTTAGGAATGAAAAATCACTATCATGCTGGTCATTTAGCAGTTAGGAAAGGACAATAGTTTGGTAACTAATGGGCAGACAGGACATGTATTTCAAAACCTTTCTCATCGTGTGCAGCAGCTTAGGAAATGGTCAGTGGGACGATTCTGAACATTGCACATCTGTGACCAATTGGCCAGTTGTGGTTTTGTTTATTAGATCAATATGGTGCCTTCCAGAAGCCAACAGGAGATGCATGAGGGATACATTGTGAAGTGCCCTCAGCAGTGTTTTTGTTCATTTTGTTTTAATTGTGCTGACCTCCTACTCCTACAAGTGCTGTTCAAGGCTGTACTTACACTAGGAAGCTCTGATGAGATTGTCCTCCGCAGCATAGTTCCTTTGTCCCGGAATGTGGCACATGCCGCTTGGGCTTTCCTTGGCCCAGATGGGACCTCACTCGCTCGTCTAACACCAAAGTAAACAAGCATCCTGGTGACCTGGTGTCCATGCCAGGACTTCTGGACACAGCAAAATGCTCGTGAATACTAGCTGATCTGATTCACTGAACGAAGGCAGATCAGGCTGCAGAATGCTGGTGTGTCTGATGAGCAGGCCTGTCATTGCACTGGGGAGTGTTTCTGAAATGTTTTGTCTTCAATCAACGGTGAACTACATCATTATCCAATATACACACATACACATACACAGAAGTTTAACTGAAGAGAAAGCATTGGAAACCTCACTGCCAAGACTACATGCTGAATAAGACGCTCTCTGATTCGTTCCATTCTGTTCCATTTCATTCTATTTCATTCTTTAAAAAAATTCCAGTCACTACCTACTAAACTGATTTCATGTCCCACTATTGGGTTGCAACCCACAGATTTTAAAAAATGCTTTATTAAACCACTGGATATAGGAGATTATGAAAGGAAACGATATATAACTGGAATAAAGGTCCCATCTACCTCAAAAGCACTCTAAAGAGTGCACATAGAAAAAGTTCTAGAAATTGGAAATGGTTCTGGTTTCTACTTTGTTCCCTTTACTATGTGATTAATTGTCTGTAATATAGAAGTGCTTTAGGAAGAAAATTAAAAGCTGTACATGCTAGAAATTTCTCTTTAAGATTTTTTAGTTAATTTTATAAATATCTCTAGGCTATTTATTTTATATTAAGATATTTCTGTTTATGATTTAATAACCCAGCTAGCTCTGAAATGCTGTGGAGAATGTTTTCCTTAAACAAATTTTTTATCATCCCATTTGGTTAACCCATACATCTAGTATGATAAGATCTGTATCCTAGAATATTTATAAACAAAGTGGCTTCTGGGATTCAAGTACAAATCAGGTATATCAGAGCATGTAGAATTACTTGCTACATATAATTAGTACTAAAAAAAAATAGAGAACTAGCCAAAGACTATTCCCACAAAGTTCCAAGTTTTAAAAAAGAGATATGTAGCATATCTGTATTGTCAACGATAAATACAGCTGGACATTAAAGCTGTAAAAACAGATTTTATTCAGTAACTCCTGACTACAGGGGATAGAGGTGGGCTCCATTTTGATTTGTGCAGAGTGGACTGACTTTTTTTTTTAAGTTTATTTATTTTGAGAGAGAGAGTCGAGGGGGGAGCAAGCAGAAGAGAGGCAGAGAGAGAGGGAGAGAGAATGCCAAACAGGCTCCGTTCTGTCAGTGCAGAGCTGAAGTGGGGCTCAAACTTATGAACCATGAGATCATGACCTGAGTGGAAATCAAGAGTCGGACGCTTAACCAACTGAGCCACCCAGGCTCCCTGAGGGGCTGGCATTTTAAAGGGAGAATGAAGGGGGGATGTGAGCAGGGGCTCAGTAGAGTCAGTGTAGTGAAAAATTATAAAAAGCAGGAAGGGTGTATTGGTCCAGGAGGCACCCATCTGGTTGGCCAACTGGCACTTATCAATGTCAAGCTGCTTCCCTCTCCTCCACCCCCAGGGCTGGGACACAGGAGCCCTGTGTTCAGGTGTCACTGGAACAAACCATCATTTCTTCGGGCAGCCTTCAGTTTTCTCAGGCAGGCACTTTAAGGGACATGGGTCACCTAGGTATGCAGCCTTGAGCAGTTAGAAAACCATCAGTGTTTGCTCAAGTCTTACAGGCCAAGGTGAGGCCTAGGGGAGGAAGGGCTCAGAGGAGCCTAGCTGGCATTTGGTCAGAGAGAGAATCTTTGCCAATGTCATCTTTGCCAATTTGGTCACAGAGAGAATCTTTGCAAAGCGGTCATGAAATAAATCCCAAGGAATTTCTTTTTCTCCCTAATGTGGCTCTTAAAGCAAGAGTTTTAGGGGTGCCTGGGTGGCTCAGTCAGTTAAGCGGCCAACTTCGGCTCAGGTCATGATCTCACAGTTTGTGGGTTTGAGCCCTGCGTTGGGCTCTGTGCTGACAGCTTGCTCAGAGCCTGGAGCCTGCTTTGGATTCTGTGTCTCCCTCTCTCTCGGACCCTTCCCTGCTCATGCTTTGTCTCTTTCTGTCTCAAAAATATGTACAACATAAAAAAAATTAATTAAAGCAAATAGAGTTTTTTTTTTTTTAATGTAAAATATAAAACATGGAAGTCACTGAACTAGATCCCCGCTGAGGAAGTCAAGCAACTGAGCGTATACAGAGAAGCTCCTGTGTTTTGGACCCTGTGCTAGAAACCTCCACAGGCATTATTTCGCTAAGT